TAGGTGCTTGTCCAGTGCCAGCTTGAAGACTGCCAGGGGTCTGTTGGTAATCCCCCTTATGTATGCTGGGAGGCAGTTGAACAGTCTCGGGCCCCTGACACTTATTGTATGGTCTCTTAACATGCTAGTGACACCCCTGCTTTTCATTGGGGGGATGGTGCATCGTCTGCCAAGTCTTTTGCTTTCGTAGTGAGTGATTTTCGTGTGCAAGTTCGGTACTAGTCCCTCTAGGATTTTCCAGGTGTATATAATCATGTATCTCTCCTGCCTGCGTTCCAGGGAATACAGGTTCAGGAGCCTCAAGCGCTCCCAGTAATTGATGTGTTTTATCTCCGTTATGCGCGCCGTGAAGGTTCTCTGTACATTTTCTAGGTCAGCAATTTCACCTGCCTTGAAAGGTGCTGTTAGTGTGCAGCAATATTCCAGCCTAGATAGAACAAGTGACCTGAAGAGTGTCATCATGGGCTTGGCCTCCCTAGTTTTGAAGGTTCTCATTATCCATCCTGTCATTTTTCTAGCAGATGCGATTGATACAATGTTATGGTCCTTGAAGGTGAGATCCTCCGACATGATCACTCCCAGGTCTTTGACGTTGGTGGCCAGAATTTGTTTTGTACTCTGATGAAGATTTAATTTCCTCGTGTTTACCATATCTGAGTAATTGAAATTTCTCATCGTTGAACTTCATATTGTTTTCTGCAGCCCACTGAAAGATTCGGTTGATGTCCGCCTGGAGCCTTGCAGTGTCTGCAATGGAAGACACTGTCATGCAGATTCGGGTGTCATCTGCAAAGGAAGACACGGTGCTGTGGCTGACATCCTTGTCTATGTCGGATATGAGGATGGGGAACAAGATGGGAGCGAGTACTGTGCCTTGTGGAACAGAGCTTTTCACCGTAGCTGCCTCGGACTTTACTCTGTTGACGACTACTCTCTGTGTTCTGTTAGTGAGGAAATTATAGATCCATCGGCCGACTTTTCCTGTTATTCCTTTAGCACGCATTTTGTGCACTATTACGCCATGGTCACACTTGTCGAAGGCTTTTGCAAAGTCTGTATATATTACATCTGCATTCTTTTTTTCTTCTAGTGCATTTAGGACCTTGTCGTAGTGATCCAATAGTTGAGACAGACAGGAGCGACCTGTTCTAAACCCATGTTGCCCTGGGTTGTGTAACTGATGGGTTTCTAGATGGGTGGTGATCTTGCTTCTTAGGACCCTTTCAAAGATTTTTATGATATGGGATGTTAGCGCTATCACTATCGCTTTACTGCCCCCTTTGTGGAGTGGGGCTATGTCTGTTGTTTTTAGTAACTGTGGGACGACCCCAGTGTCCATGCTCCCTCTCCATAGGATGTTATAAGCACGTGATAGGGGCTTCTTGCAGTTCTTGATGAACACGGAGTTCCATGAGTCTGGCCCTGGGGCAGAGTGCATGGGCATGTCATTTATCGCCTGTTCGAAGTTATTTGGTGTCAGGATAACATCAGATAGGCTTGTGTTTACCAAATTCTGTGGCTCTCTCATAAAAAATTAATTTAGATCTTCGACTCTCAGTCTGGTTAGCGGATTGCTAAAAACTGAGCCATACTGGGACTTGAGTAGCTCACTCATTTCCTTGCTGTCATCTGTGTAGGACCCATCTTGTTTAAGTAGGGGCCCAATACTGGATGTTGTCCTCGACTTTGATTTGGCATAAGAAAAGAAATACTTTGGGTTTCTTTCGATTTCATTTATGGCTTTTAGTTCTTCCCGCAATTTCTAACTCCTATAAGATTCCTTTAGCTTGATTTCGATGTTTGCTGTTTCTCTGACCAGTGTTTCCCTACACATTGCAGATATATTGGCCTCTTTTAGCCGCTCTGTTATTCTTTTCCGTCGCCTGTAAAGGGAGCGCCTGTCCATTTCTATTTTACATCTACTCCTCCTTTTTCTTAAAGGAATTAGCCTTGAGCATACATCGAGTGGCACAGAGTTAATCTGTTCTAGGCATAAGTTGGGGTCTGTGTTACTTAGTCTATCTTCCCATCTTATATCATTTAGAACTTGGTTTACTTGGTCCCGCTTTATGTTCTTGTTATTGAAGTTGAATTTGGTGAAGGCTCCCGCGTGACGGATCACATTTTGTCGGTCTGGGGCCCCGCGCATGCATGTCTGAGCCTCGATTATATTGTTATCCGAGTATATTGTTTTTGATATGGTGACATTTCGTATCAGATTATCATTGTTAGTGAAGATGAGGTCCAGTGTATTCTCCAATCTAGTTGACTCTATTATTTGCTGATTTAAGTTGAATTTTGTGCAGAGATTTCAAAACTCGTGTGTGTGTGTGAGCTGCCTCCTGGTGTTATCACTGCAACAACATTATTTGCTATATTCCTCCATTTTAGGGGCCTTAAGTTGAAATTCCCCAGGAGCAAGATGTTGGGTGCAGGAGCTGGAAGATTTTCCAGACAGTGGTCAATTTTCAACAGCTGTTCCTGGAATTGTTGGGACGTTGCATCCGGAGGCTTGTAGACTACCACAATGACTAGATTTTGGTTCTCGATCTTTACTGCTAAAACTTCAACTATATCATTTGAAGCATTAAGCAGTTCTGCGCAAATAATTGACTCTGCGATATACAGGTCAACCCCCATCCCCTTTTGCCTGTTCACTCTGTCGCATCTGTATAGGTTGTAACCTGGGATCCATATTTCGTTGTCCAAGTGATTCTTTATGTGGGTCTCTGTGAAAGCCGCGAACATTGCATTTGCCTCTGCAAGCAGTCCACGGATGAAAGGTATTTTGTTGTTCGTTGCTGGTTTTAGACCCTGTATATTTGCAAAGAAGAATGTCGTCGGATTTGTGGTATTGGTGGTACTGGGGGAGACTTTTTTTCCGGCATTAATATCTGTATGTTGGTTTGGAGTGGAGGCCATCAACTGTGATTCCACTCCAGAAATTTAGTTTAATATGTTTATTATGCACCTCATACCCATCCTGTGGCTGTAGTCAAATTATTACAGAGGTACATAATGGGTCCAGGGACCGGGCCCCAAAGTTTTGATAGCTGAGCAAGTTACAAAGGTAATGAACTCCCTTAAGAAATAATTGGATTTGGTGTACGATTTCTGCCATTTCCTGCCATTTTTTTTCCTTCCTGGCACTAAAAAACCTCTCTCTCTTGAGTGGCTGTGGCTACCCCATTTTTCCATGGTCTGGATGTTTTGTATCTTTTTGTCCCCTTTTTATAGTGTACCTGGCAATATAAATTATAGCACTGCCTTTCCTGTACTGAAGAGGGACACATTTCAGGGTGAAAAAGCTTACAGGGAGGTTGCATTTGTCTGTTGTCACATGGGCACGGCATTTTCACTAGTACTAATAATGGAGCTCTCACCAGCTGTTTCTGGAAATTTGTCTTCACTATTTCTAGTGGAATCCCCTTGTTTGCTATCTCCTGTGGTATTGCTAGTTTGTAATATTGGTTTTATCTTGTCCTTGATTACACTTGTTTCCCCACTACATCTCCTGTCTCCCTCGAGGCCACTAATATTCATTCCTACATGCATGCAGTTACTGTCTGCCAGGACAGCACCTACAGCCTTACAGTTCCTGACTACCTGGCCAGCACCTCCAGTCGTACAGTTACTGTCTGCCAGGACAGCATCCGCACCAAGGGCGATAGATAGCACTCTCCAGCTCAGACTTTTTATTTTCCGATCTGTTAGAGAATGCTTTCAGGTTTTCTATGAAGGCCGCTTTGACGTTTTCCTCTTTTAATACCAATGTGATTTTAGTCCACAGATTGATCTCACTTGAGCATACCCAAAAACACTTCCCTGATTTAATACCTCTTGTAGATAATTCTTGGATATCTGCACATGGGGCTCACGCCCCATGTGCAGATAACAAGCGTGAGATAACAAGGCGTGAGTCCCATGTGCATTTCGGGCAAATTAATTCAGCATTGTCCCAGGCTGCGACCAACACCAGTCAACTAACACCCAGGTACCCATTTTAATGATAGGTGAACAGGGACGACAGATGTCTTATAGAAACACATCCTAATGTTTTCTCGCCGTACCAGGAGATCGACCCCCGGACCTCAGTGTGTGAGCTGAGTGCCCTGGTGGTGCTCCAGCTATGGGACACATACAACCAAAGAAGCTGGTATCTATTATAAACAAACTTTACATCTTTGTGTAATGTACAAAATGTAGTTTACATGTAACCATGTATAGGAGTGAGGCTGATTCATTACCTTTGTAACTTGCCATGATTGTGACCAGATCTACCTGGAGTTCATTACCTTTGTAACTTGCCATGATTGTGACCAGATCTACCTGGAGTTCATTACCTTTGTAACTTGCCATGATTGTGACCAGATCTACCTGGAGTTCATTACCTTTGTAACTTGCCATGATTGTGACCAGATCTACCTGGAGTTCATTACCTTTGTAACTAGTTCAGCTATCATAACTTTGGGGTCCAGTCACTGGACCCATTATATACCTTTGTAATCTTTTGACTACCGTCCACAGGATGGGTATGGGGTGCATAATAAAGATATTAAAACTAACCAACATGTAAAAAAAATATTTTTAAGCACAAAAGAAAGCCTCTAACATGCATGTGGTTGTTAGCTAGTTAGTTTAATATGTTTATTATACACATCATCCTGTGGGCGATATTCACCTAATTGTACCCACCTAATTGCGGTTGCAGGGATCGAGACTCAGCTCCTGGCCCCCGCCTCTTCACTGACTGCGGTAGTGGAGAAACGTTGTGCACGTTTCCTTCCACCTATTAGTCCTGTACAGTCCTTGTGGCTTAGCGCTTCTTTTTTATTATAATAATAATAATCCACCTATTAGCCAGATTCATCTGGAATAGGAATATAATTTTCTTTTGTCATCATCTTGAAACTGAGTTTTGATGTGGTAATAATTATTTGTTTTCAAGTGAAGATAGTTAAGAACCAGTGTGCCAGGCGGCGGCTTTAAAAGTGTCAACAGTACAGGAGGCGGAGGAGGTAGTAACGTTCATACATTACCTGGAGGTGATTGTTACTAGTGCTGTTACCTGGAGGTGATTGTTACTAGTGCTGTTACCTGGAGGTGCTTGTTACTAGTACTGTTACCTGGAGGTGCTTGTTACTAGTACTGTTACCTGGAGGTGCTTGTTTACTAGTGCTGTTACCTGGAGTGCTTGTTACTAGTACTGTTACCTGGAGGTGCTTGTTACTAGTACTGTTACCTGGAGGTGCTTGTTACTAGTGCTGTTACCTGGAGGTGCTTGTTACTAGTGCTGTTACCTGGAGGTGCTTGTTACTAGTGCTGTTACCTGGAGGTGCTTGTTACTAGTACTGTTACCTGAAGGTGCTTGTTACTAGTGCTGTTACCTGGAGGTGCTGTTACTAGTACTGTTACCTGGAGGTGCTTGTTACTAGTGCTGTTACCTGGAGGTGCTTGTTACTAGTGCTGTTACCTGGAGGTGCTTGTTACTAGTGCTGTTACCTGGAGGTGCTTGTTACTAGTACTGTTACCTGGAGGTGCTTGTTACTAGTGCTGTTACCTGGAGGTGCTTGTTACTAGTACTGTTACCTGGAGGTGCTTGTTACTAGAGCTGTTACCCGGAGGTGCTTGTTACTAGTGCTGTTACCTGGAGGTGCTTGTTACTAGTGCTGTTACCTGGAGGTGCTTGTTACTAGTACTGTTACCTGGAGGTGCTTGTTACTAGTGCTGTTACCTGGAGGTGCTTGTTACTAGTGCTGTTACCTGGAGGTGCTTGTTACTAGTACTGTTACCTGGAGGTGCTTGTTACTAGTGCTGTTACCTGGAGGTGCTTGTTACTACTGCTGTTACCTGGAGGTGCTTGTTACTAGCACTGTTACCTGGAGGTGCTTGTTACTAGTGCTGTTACCTGGAGGTGCTTGTTACTAGTGCTGTTACCTGGAGGTGCTTGTTACTAGTGCTATTACCTGGAGGTGCTTGTTACTAGTGCTGTTACCTGGAGGTGCTTGTTACTAGTGCTGTTACCTGGAGGTGCTTGTACTAGTGCTGTTACCTGGAGGTGCTTGTTAATAGTGCTGTTACCTGGAGGTGCTTGTTACTAGTGCTGTTACCTGGAGGTGCTTGTTACTAGTGCTGTTACCTGGAGGTGCTTGTTACTAGTGCTGTTACCTGGAGGTGCTTGTTACTAGTGCTGTTACCTGGAGGTGCTTGTTACTAGTACTGTTACCTGGAGGTGCTTGATACTAGTACTCTTACCTGGAGGTTCTTGTTACTAGTTACCTGGAGGTGCTTGTTACTAGTACTGTTACCTGGAGGTGCTTGTTACTAGTGCTGTTACCTGGAGGTGCTTGTTACTAGTGCTGTTACCTGGAGGTGCTTGTTACTACTGTTACCTGGAGGTGCTTGTTACTAGTACTGTTACCTGGAGGTTCTTGTTACTAGTACAGTTACCTGGAGGTGCTTGTTACTAGTACTGTTACCTGGAGGTGCCTGTTACTAGTACTGTTACCTGGAGGTGCTTGTTAATACTGTTACCTGGAGGTTCTTGTTACTAGTGGTTACCTGGAGGTGCTTGTTACTAGTACTGTTACCTGGAGGTTCTTGTTACTAGTGGTTACCTGGAGGTGCTTGTTACTAGTACTGTTACCTGGAGGTTCTTGTTACTAGTGCTGTTACCTGGAGGTGCTTGTTACTAGTACTGTTACCTAGAGGTGCTTGTTACTAGTACTGTTACCTGGAGGTTCTTGTTACTAGTACAGTTACCTGGAGGTGCTTGTTACTAGTACTGTTACCTGGAGGTGCTTGTTACTAGTACTGTTACCTGGAGGTGCTTGTTAATAGTACTGTTACCTGGAGGTTCTTGCTACTAGTGGTTACCTGGAGGTGCTTGTTACTAGTACTGTTACCTGGAGGTTCTTGTTACTAGTGCTGTTACCTGGAGGTTCTTGTTACTAGTGCTCTTACCTGGAGGTTCTTGTTACTAGTGCTGTTCCCTGGAGGTGCTTGTTACTAGTACTGTTACCTGGAGGTGCTTGTTACTAGTACTGTTACCTGGAGGTGCTTGTTACTAGTACTCTTACCTGGAGGTTCTTGTTACTAGTACAGTTACCTGGAGGTGCTTATTACTAGTGCTGTTACCTGAGGTTCTTGTTACAAGTACTCTTACCTGGAGGTTCTTGTTACAAGTACTGTTATTTGGAGGTTCTTGTTACTAGTACTGTTACCTGGAGATTCTTGTTACTAGTACTGTTATCTTTAGGTTCTTGTTACTAGTACTGTTATCTGGAGGTTCTTGTTACTAGTACTGTTATCTGGAGGCTCTTGCCACCAGTACTGTCACCTGGTTGTTCTTGTCACTAGTACTGTCACCTGGTTGATCTCATCACAAGTACTGTCTCATGGTTGGTCTTGTCACTAGTACTGTCACCTGGTTGGTCTTGTCACTAGTACTGTCACCTGGTTGATCTCATCACTAGTACTGTCACCTGGTTGGTCTTGTCACTAGTACTGTCACCTGGTTGGTCTTGTCACTAGTACTGTCACCTGGTTGGTTTTGTCACTAGTACTGTCACCAGGTTAATCTCATCACTAGTACTGTCACCTGGTTGGTCTTGTCACTAGTATTGTCACCTGGTTGGTCTTGTCACTAGTACTGTCACCTGGTTGGTCTTGTCACTAGTACTGTCACCTGGTTGATCTCATCACTAGTACTGTCACCTGGTTGGTCTTGTCACTAGTATTGTCACCTGGTTGGTCTTGTCACTAGTACTGTCACCTGGTTGATCTCATCACTAGTACTGTCACCTGGTTGATCTCATCACTAGTACTGTCACCTGGTTGGTCTTGTCACTAGTATTGTCACCTGGTTGGTCTTGTCACTAGTACTGTCACCTGGTTGATCTCATCACTAGTACTGTCACCTGGTTGATCTCATCACTAGTACTGTCACCTGGCTGATCTCATCACTACTGTCACCTGGTTGATCTCATCACTGGTACTGTCACCTGGTTGGTCTTTTCACTAGTACTGTCACCTGGTTGATCTCATCACTAGTACTGTCACCTGGTTGATCTTGTCACTAGTACTGTCACCAGGTTGATCTCGTCACTAGTACTGTCACCTGGTTGGTCTTGTCACTAGTATTGTCACCTGGTTGGTCTTGTCACTAGTACTGTCACCTGGTTGGTCTTGTCACTAGTACTGTCACCTGGTTGATCTCATCACTAGTACTGTCACCTGGTTGGTCTTGTCACTAGTATTGTCACCTGGTTGGTCTTGTCACTAGTATTGTCACCTGGTTGATCTCATCACTAGTACTGTCACCTGGTTGATCTCATCACTGGTACTGTCAAGTGGTTGGTCTTTTCACTAGTACTGTCACCTGGTTGATCTCATCACTAGTACTGTCACCTGGTTGATCTTGTCACTAGTACTGTCACCTGGTTGATCTCATCACTGGTACTGTCACCTGGTTGGTCTTTTCACTAGTACTGTCACCTGGTTGATCTCATCACTAGTACTGTCACCTGGTTGATCTCATCACTAGTACTGTCACCTGGTTGATCTCATCACTAGTACTGTCACCTGGTTGATCTTGTCACTAGTACTGTCGCCTGGTTGATCTTGTCACTAGTACTGTCACCTGGTTGATCTTGTCACTAGTATTGTCACCTGGTTGGTCTTGTCACTAGTACTTTCGCCTGGTTGATCTTGTCACTAGTACTGTCGCCTGGTTGATCTTGTCACTAGTACTGTCACCTGGTTGATCTCATCACTAGTACTGTCACCTGGTTGATCTTGTCACTAGTACTGTCACCTGGTTGATCTCATCACTAGTACTGTCACCTAGTTGATCTCATCACTAGTACTGTCACCTGGTTGATCTTGTCACTAGTACTGTCACCTGGTTGATCTCATCACTAGTACTGTCACCTGGTTGGTCTTGTCACTAGTACTGTCACCTGGTTGGTCTTGTCACTAGTATTGTCACCTGGTTGGTCTTGTCACTAGTATTGTCACCTGGTTGGCCTTGTCACTAGTATTGTCACCTGGTTGGTCTTGTCACTAGTATTATCACCTGGTTGATCTTGTCACTAGTATTGTCACCTGGTTGGTCTTGTCACTAGTACTGTCACCTGGTTGATCTTGTCACTAGTACTGTCACATGGTTGATCTTGTCACTAGTACTGTCACCTGGTTGATCTCATCACTAGTACTGTCACCTAGTTGATCTCATCACTAGTACTGTCACCTGGTTGATCTCATCACTAGTACTGTCACCTGGTTGGTCTTGTCACTAGTACTGTCACCTGGTTGGTCTTGTCACTAGTATTGTCACCTGGTTGGCCTTGTCACTAGTATTGTCACCTGGTTGGTCTTGTCACTAGTATTATCACCTGGTTGATCTTGTCACTAGTATTGTCACCTGGTTGGTCTTGTCACTAGTACTGTCACCTGGTTGATCTTTGTCACTAGTACTGTCACATGGTTGATCTTGTCACTAGTACTGTCACCTGGTTGATCTCATCACTAGTACTGTCACCTAGTTGATCTCATCACTAGTACTGTCACCTGGTTGATCTCATCACTAGTACTGTCACCTGGTTGGTCTTGTCACTAGTACTGTCACCTGGTTGGTCTTGTCACTAGTATTGTCACCTGGTTGGCCTTGTCACTAGTATTGTCACCTGGTTGGTCTTGTCACTAGTATTATCACCTGGTTGATCTTGTCACTAGTATTGTCACCTGGTTGGTCTTGTCACTAGTACTGTCACCTGGTTGGTCTTGTCACTAGTACTGTCACATGGTTGATCTTGTCACTAGTACTGTCACCTGGTTGATCTTGTCACTAGTACTGTTACCTGCTTGATCTTGTCACTAGTATTGTCACCTGGTTGGTCTTGTCACTAGTAGTGTCACCAGCAGCTGGACTAACCTTGAATCACGGTGTAGCAAGAGACACACCAGGCTGCGTGAGCTTTCATACTGTGCAGTCTTCAATATTTCAAGGTAAGACCATCCCTCACAGGATATATACATGGTGTCCTGTGGCTCAGTTGGTAACACACTCGCCTCATACTGAGTGTCCGTGGTTCAGTCTTCGACATGGGTGGGAATGCTGTCGTATTTCCTTATAACTTGTCCCTGTTCACCTAGCAGTAAGTAGGTACATACCTGTGTGTTAGTTGACTGTTGCAGGTTGCATCTTGGGGGACAATATTAAGGAACCTCAATGGAAATAAGACTGATAGCCCTTGATGACTCACTGACACATGACACACACACATCCTTTTTCTCATATCTAGGCCAAATTTTGCTGATCACAGAATATTTGATGGTGCTATTCTTAATACGTAGTTCTACATAAGCGACATTGGGCTCAGTGATGTAGATCTATGTGGGAGACAGTGAAAGAGTTAATAAAAATAAATTTGCTTGTCATTGTTGCTTTTCTAGCTCTTGATTAGGCTCCTCTGTCAAAAGAAATACAGTGGTACCCCGTATCACTGGGGACGTGTTCCAAGAACCTGCCGTGGATACCGGAACCATGGATAGTAGCAATCCCTACATATAAATGTCCTATACATACCTGTTATAAAGTTTAATAAATTATACACAGAATTATTACTTTTTCACTGATGGTAAGCACTTTATGGCTTCTTTTAGGCTTTAAAGAACTGCCAGCTTTTGCACTTTGGGGCAATCATTATGCAAAATTAAGAGGTATTTTTGGGCCACAGTAAACTATGGGTAACTGAAACCACAGATATGAATCAGTGGATATGGGGGGTTCTGCTGTATGGTACATTAATATTTTGACTAATTATTTCTTTATATTTCAGGAAACAAAAACAAGTTATAATGGCGAATGAAGACCCCACTCTTGAACGCCACTTCAAAGGCCACAAGGATGCGGTTACAGCTCTTGAATTTTGTCCCACTGGAAAAAAGTTGGTTTCTTCTTCACTTGATCACACAGTTATGATCTGGAATCTTCAACAACAGATTCGTGCCTATAGGTTAGAAAAATTTTATATTGTGTGTATGTATATATATATATCCTAGGTAGTAGGTTGGTAGACAGCAACCGCCCAGGGAGGTACTACCATCCTGCCAAGTGAGTGTAAAACGAAAGCCTGCAATCGTTTTACATGATGGTAGGATTGCTGGTGTCCTTTTTTTCTGTCTCATAAACATGCAAGATTTCAGGTACGTCTTGCTACTTCTACTTACACTTAGGTCACACTACACATACATGTACAGGCATATATATACACACCCCTTTGAGTTATCTTCTATTTTCTTTCTAGTTCTTGTTCTTGTTTATTTCTTCTTACCTCCATGGGGAAGTGGAACAGAATTCTTCCTCCGTAAGCCATACATGTTGTAAGAGGCGACTAAAATGCCGGTAGTATGGGGCTAGTAACCCCTTCTCCTGTATATTACTAAATATAAAGGGAGAAACTTTCATTTTTTCTTTTGGGCCACCCCACCTCGGTGGGATACGGCCGGTGTGTTGAAAGAAAGAAAGAAGTATATACAGTGGACCCCCGCATAACGATCACCTCCGAATGCGACCAATTATGTAAGTGTATTTATGTAAGTGTGTTTGTACGTGTATGTTTGGGGGTCTGAAATGGACTAATCTGCTTCACAATATTCCTTATGGGAACAAATTCGGTCAGTACTGGCACCTGAACATACTTCTGGAGTGAAAAAATATCGTTAACCGGGGGTCCACTGTATATATACACACTACACTCCCTGCCTCCCTGCTACACTCCCTGCCTCCCTGCTACACTCCCTGCCTCCCTCCTACACTCCCTGCCTCCCTGCTACATTCCCTGCCTGTATATGCATATGAGCAGTAGACCCCCGGTTTTCGTAATTAATCCGTTCCAGAAGGTCAGCCGAAATCCGAAATGGATGAAAACCGAAGTAATATTTCCCATGAGAAATAATGTAAATCCAATTAATCCGTTCCAGACACCCAAAAATATTAACAAAAAATACATTTTATAGAGAATAACTCTAGTTTTACATAGAGAAAACAATGAGAAATAAATATAAATGACTAATTTTAATGGATTAATGAACATTTAAATCACTTTTACCTTTATTGAAGAGGCTCGTTGGCATGTTGGCACTAAGATCAGCTTGAGAGTCACTGGACCATGCAGACACGGCTTGCAACAGCTTTGTTAGGGTGATATTTCTCCACCAACTCTTCCACTTCCTATTTACATCACACATCCCTGTCTAAGGCCTACTTTTACCGGGAAAGAATCTCCCTCTCTCCTACACACTCTAACCTGAGCCTCAATATCCTTGTAAAAATTCTTCACTGCTTTTAGTAACCCACCTCTTACTCCATACATTTACAACATCTGCCACAGTGCCCCCCTATCTACCCTATCATACGCCTTTTCCAAATCCTACCATTCCTAAAACCTCCTTGTAAATCTGTGATCCTGCTCTCCGTCTTACTCTTAATTCTTTCAATAATAACTTTACCATACACTTTTCCAGGTATACTCAACAGGCTTATTCCCCTATAATTTTTTCACTCTCTTTTGTCCCCATTGCCTTTATACAACAGGACTACGGATTCCTTCTGCCGATCCCTAGGTACCTTACTTTAAATAAAAGTACCAACCATTCCAAAGCTATATCCACACCTGCTTTTAACCTTTTTGTCTTTATCCCATCAATCCCAGCTGCTTTACCCCCTTTCATTCTACCCACTGCTTAATGCACCTTTCCCACACTCACATCTGGCTCTTCCTCACTCCTATAAGATGTTATACATCCCTGCTCAAACCATGTTCAGCAGTTATCTCTTTATTCTAGTGGCTATGTAGTGCATAGATCTTCTTTCAACAAACTGGCTGTATCCCACAGAAACAGGGTGGCCCAAATAGAAAAACAAAAGTTTCTCTTTTTAGCTTTAATAATATATACAGGAGAAGGGGTTACTATCCCCTTACTCCCAGCACGTTAGTTGCCTCTTACGACATGCATGGCTTATGGAGGAAGAATTCTGTTCCACTTTTCCCATGGAGATAGGAAATAAACAAGAACTAGTAAGAAAATAGAAGAAATTCCAGAGGGGTGTGTATATACAGTGGAACCTCTACTTATGAGTTTAATCCATTCTGTGGCCTTGCTCGTATCCCGATTTGCTTGTATGCTGAGTCAATTTTCCTCATTTAAATCAATTGAAATGCAGTTAATCTGTTCCGGCTCTCACGAGGCATGACAGAATACTTCAGTATTTCCCTAATATCAACTCTATGGCTTATTTATCCATCAAAATTCATCTAATATGACATAATAAACAATATAAATAATATAGAAACCTGATATATACTATGGAAAATTAAAATTACCTGGATGAATCTCATTAGATGCATACTAGTAATTTTATAAAAGTAAAAAAAGATAATTCCTGTAATTGTTTTACATGATGGTAGGATTGCTGGTGTCCATTTTTCTGTCTCATAAACATGCAAGGTTTCAGGTACGTCTTGCTACTTCTACTCATACTTAGGTCACACTACACATACATGTACAAGCATATATATATACATCCCTCTGGGTTTTCTCCTATTTTCTTTCTAATTCTTGTTCTTGTTTATTTCCTCTTATCTCCATGGGGAAGTGGAACAGAATTTTTCCTCCGTAAGCCATGCGTGTTGTAAGAGGCAACTAAAATGCCGGGAGCAAGGGGCTAGTAACCCCTTCTCCTGTATATATTACTAAATGTAAAAGGAGAAACTTTTGTTTTTCCTTTTGGGCCACCCCGCCTTGGTGGGATACGACCAGTGTGTTGAAAGAAAGAGAAAAAATATAATTATTCTTTATCAAGGTAGCAAAAAATGTCCTTTGATACCTACTCCACTCATATCTCTACAAGTAACTCTGGACCTATATTAATTTCCAATGAAATATACATCACCAGGAATTCTGGTACAACATGTTAAATTTAATAAATGACTACAAATACATTGAAGGAGAATTTATAATAATAACACTCACCAATTTGTCTGGAGATTACTTGGTGTGTCATACACAAACCCCTGCCTAAAATATGAAGAAAATACTGGCCAGAATTTCAACATTTATTTATTTATTTATTTATTTATTTATTTATTAATTTGAACATGATACAGTGAAGTATGTATAAATTTATTACAGTGCAACATGCCAAAGCCCCTTGTATGCAGAGCATTATGAGCAGGCCTAAAATTAACTTAAGATTAACTAAGCAATGATATATTCAGTGGTAAATACATTATTGTAAACAGATAACAATTTAGCACAAATGAGTATTACAAAGACAGGTCATATGGTCATTTACTGTGTTGCTGAGCATTCAGTAGATTGGAGTATTCTGTTAGGTAATGTAATTAAAAAAATAAAGTTTGATTGGGTCACAGGTTAGACATTTATGAGATACAATAATGAGAAACATTTACGAGAAACAATTTATGAGATACAATTATTCAGTATTTATTTAGTTGTGGGTGAGTAAATGATTTTTGAGAAGAGACTTGAATTTATAAACAGACAGTGTTTCTTTTATATTCACAGGTAATGAATTCCAGATTTTAGGGCCTTTTATGTGCATTGAGATTTTGCATAGCGTGAGATGGACTCCAGGAGCATCAAAGAGTGATCTGTGCTTTGTGTTATGGTCGTGTGTTCTGTTGAGGTTGGTAAGGAGACGTTTGAGGGGAGGGTTTATATCAGAGTTAAGTGTTCTATGAATGTAGTAGGTGCAGTTATAAGTATGGATGTTTTGAATGGTGAGTAGGTTTAGAGTTTTGAATATTGGTGGAGTGTGCTGCCTGTAGTGGGAATTTGTTATCATTCTGACTGCAGCCTTTTGTTGGGTAATTAATGGTCTGAGATGGTTTATTGTTGTTGAGCCCCATGCACAAATTCCATAGGTGAGATAGGGGTAAATAAGTGAGTGATATAGGGCCAGGAGGGCTGACTGTGGAACATAGTACCGTATCTTCGATAGTATGCCTACGGTCTTGGAAATTTTTTTGGAAATTTGTTGTATATGTGTTTGAAATTTGAGTCTATTATCAAGGTGGATTCCTAAGAATTTTCCCTCTGAGTTTTGTGATAGGTGATCCGTTTATCTATATGTTAAGAGGGACGTCTGTAGCTCTGTTACCAAACTGAATGAAGTAGATTTTGTCAATGTTTAGAGCAAGTTTGTTAGTACTCATCCAGGTAGATATTTTCTGTAATTCTGTATTTACAGTATTGGCTAGCGTGACTGGGCTCAGGTGAGAGAAGACGTATGTAGTGTCATCTGCAAATAGTGTGGGTTTGAGTAGTTGCGATGCATTTGGTAGGTCATGTATATGAGAAAGAGAAGAGGGCCTAGGACACTTCCCTGTGGGACACCAACTGTAATTGGCTGTGCTGAAGAGTTTGCCCCGTTTGTGTACACATATTGGCTTCTGTGTTACAAAAAACGCGATTCTAAAAGCTTATAGATCTCCAGTGAATACTAGAAAGGACTGCCCTTCTAGCATCCAGCCTGTTACTGGGTTTTTGTAACAAGTAGTCAGTATCCTTGTCCAATTATCCATTAGAATTCAGTATGAATTATTAGTGGTTTAGGATTACAACAGGTAGGTTACTAACTAGAGAAAATAAAATTTAAATACATTTATTAAGTTGTCTAGAGGTATATCATCAAATTAAATTAAATTAATCAATTCAAACAAATTAATAATAATCACTTCTCTCGTATACAATAGTATTGTGCTGAAAGCACCTATCACATTTATAATTCTTAAGTACAGTCTGGTACATTAACATTTAATAAGATATTACAAATATGTACAAGTAAGTTTGTGTATGTGTAAGTGCTCTAAGTAGTTCGCTATGTCTCAAGACTCGACTAGACTTAAACAAGTGACTGACAAAGTCCTCACATAAACTAACTTCTTGACCACCTGGCAATCATAACAGTCTACTTGAACAATAAAAAAGA